TAAGGACCAGGTATATTATCATGACTCCACTGATACAGTCCTGTGGATTTCAATGTATATTAACTGCAGATTTGACAATGACTTAGAATTTTAGAGAAAGTGAAATTAGAGATAACAGCTTGAGTATGGTACTAAACAGGCTGGAGATGATGATCTGTTTCACTGGGTTTCCTGTCTCCTTTGAACAATGAATATTGGTAAAGGATGATTACATTAAATATAATTTATCACTCTCATCCTACTCTTGGTCTCATCTTGATTCTCTGCCTTGACTTCAATTCTGTTTTAGCCTGAAGGTCTTTCCTGTTCCCCAGGTGTCTGCTGATTGGGAGGAGGGCAGGACTGCTATAAAAATTTAAACAAATATATAACATTGTTTTTAGTTTAGTAATGTGTTAATTTGAGCAAAGCTACTAAGTATTTACTGTCTTTTTCATTTCAGTCTTCACAAATAGAAGCAGCTATTAGATGACAAGTGCAGTTGGCAGCAAAGATAGGAAAAGAAACAAACAGTCTAAAGCAGCAGAAGAACAGATTAGCGATTACTCAGAGAAGCTAGATGCTTGCAAGTTGGCAGGGCCAGATGAGATGAGCCCTAGGGTAGTAAAGGAATTGGCTGATGTGATTTCAGAGCTACTGGGTATCCTTTTAGAGGACCTGTGGAGATCACATGAGGTTTTGGATAATTGTAAAGGACAAATATAGTGCCCATCTTTGAACAGGAAGGAGGAGGATCCAGAGAATTGGACCAGTCAGTCTGACCTCCATACCTGGAAAGATCATGGAGCAGGTCCTCAAGGAATATATTGTGAAGCACCTAGAGGAGAACAAGGTGATCAGGAACTGCCAGCATGAATTCAACAAGATTAAGTCATGCCTGACCAACCTGATTTCCTTCTATGATAAGATGACAGGCTCAGTGGATGAGGGGTGGGGGTGGTGAAGAGCACTGAATGAGACAAATCTTGCAGTAAAGTAAAAAGGTTGGGGCAATTTGGGCACCATCTCCAAATATCAACTATGAGAGGGTGCCACTATGGCCTCCTCCCCTCAGGAGTCTTTGCCACGGCAGGGGCAGCCCTACATGCTTAGAAATCCTACACAGCTCCATGCCCCATAGTGTATCTGGGGAGCAGGAGAGGGGGTGGAATTTCACTACCCCCTGGGGAGGCTTTTCCATGGGAGGCACAGCCCTGACCCCAGAGGTGGAGTGTGAACACAGCACCAAGAGCACCCCTCAGAGAGCTTGCACCACTGCCTAAGCCTCAGCAGCAGCAGCGCAAGCTTGTGCTGTTATGACAGCAGTGTGGGGGTTTGGTCTACTGTAACCCCCAGGTCATTTCTGCAGTACTGCAGCCTAACCAGTTACTCCCCAGCCTCTATTTATGCATGCGATTATTCTGTCCCAAGTACAGGACTTTGCACTTGTCCTTGTTGAGTCTCATCTGATTGACAGCAGACCATTCATCCAGCTTATTCAGGTCATTCTGGACCCTACCCTTATCTCCAGAGTATCTGCAACTCCACCCAACTTGGTGTTGTCCATGGATTTGCTAAGTGTGCACTCAATCCCATTGTCCAAATTATTAATGAAAATATTAATACCAGACCCAGGGGAACCCCACTTGTTACCTCTTAGCAGCTAGAAGTTCAGCCATTGATGACTACTGATTGAGCGCAAAGATGCAAGAAGATTTTTACTCATGTTGCAGTTGTTTCACCTAGTCTGTATTTCCTTAGCTAGTATAAGAGAATGTCTTGAGAGGCAATGTCAAAAGCCTTGCTAAACTCATGGTATTTCACATCAACATGTGTGCTTAACTTCATCTTTGGGAATAGTTCACTTCATTTCAAAATTAGGCAAACTGTATAAGCAGGGACCAATATCTTTATTTGATGGCTAATTTTAACTAAGGGATTAATTCAGGGGTGGGCAAAATATGTCCTGCAGGCCAGATCCAACCTGCCAGGCCATTTTATCCAGCCTGCAGGGCCCCTGAAAGATTTAGAAAATTAATATTTATTCCTATCAAAGATGCCCTGTGGCTGCTCCACATGGCCACTGCTGCCATGCTGGGCAGCACAGAGGTGGCGGTGAGGCAGCCACACAGCAACCTAGCGTGGCATGAGCTCCAGGTGGGCAGCTGCAGCAAACACTGCCCAGTGGCGGCGAACAAGGGGGCCACTTTCCTCCGCACCGAGCAGCAGTTTCTGGGGAATGAACTGCTGCTCAGCATGGGGGAAAAGCAGCCGCTCCTCCTCCCCATGGCCAGTGCCCCGTGCTGCAGCCACTCGGAGCCCATGCGGGGCTGCCTGTGCCTGCTCTCCATTGACACCGCTGCGACATCTGTGATGCGGCAGAGAGGCAGGACAGCCCCACATGGGCTCTGGCCAGCTGCAGCAGGGAGCACCAGTGGCAGGAGGGGGTTGCTTTTCCTCCCACGCTGAGCACCATCCTCACTGCCACTGCTCAGTCCAGACAGACAAGCACAGGGCGTATAGGGTCAGGTCTGCGCGCTTGTCCCCACCTGTACCATGGGGCTGTACCACAGGGCTGGGGCGGGGGCACTGGAAGTAAGCAGGCACATGGGAGCCAGCAGCAGCCAAGCAGGAGTGTGAGGCCTGTGCTGGTGCCCTGGGGCCAGTGCCAGCAGGGCCCAGAGCAGGGTGGCAGGAGCACGGGGTCCTGGCCATCAGGGGCTCTATGGAGCCAGGTCAGCTCCCCACTCTCCCTGCTGGTGCAGCCGAGCCTGGCTCCACAGACCCCTGCCAGCCCACACCCTGTGCTCCTACTGCCCCACTCTGGGCCCCACTGGTGCTGGCCCCAGGACATTGGTGCAGGCCCCACGCTTCTGCACACCACTTGCTTCCACTCCCCCCACCCCCCTCACCACTTTCCCCACTTTCCTGCCCACCCGCCTGCCAGCCACTCTACACTACATGGCTCCCATACCCACATCCACACTCACACAAACACATCCACACATCCCCACAAACCCCCATATGCAATCACTTCTGCATAATACAGCATAAACCCACACAAATCAGGACAAAAATATTTTTTAAATTAAATTAAAATATATTATTATGGATTTTTAGTATGTAATTTGTTTTTTTTTCCCCCTAAGATGGCAAACACTCTTCCCCAAAGGCGTACTTTCAGGGGCAAGGGGAAGGACTTCCAGTGGCAGAGGTCAGAGGTTAGGGGGTGGGAGTTCCAGTCCCAAAATGGCAATCAGGGGACAGGGCACTATCAAGGGGCGGGGCTACCCATGCGGCCCTTGACAGCTTGCCAAAACTCAGTAAGCGGCCCTCTGCCCAAAATAATTGCTCACCCCTGGATTAATTCCATTCATACTATATGAAATAGTAAAAGTGGAACACTTAAGTTTTTATTTCTATTATAAAAAAGTTTAACGGGGAGGGAATGGGTTATTTAAAAAGAATTGCAACAAAACAATAATACGGGCTTATTTGAAATATACCTGGAATCAAAATTCCAACAGCCTTAATGGCTGATGTTTAAACTGTTGAATACACCTTTTGGTCATTGGTTAAAGTTCATGTCTTTATGTCCATACTATAATCTTGGTAAAGAGTGAGTACATTTATAAGTATTCAGACCAAATAATAAAGATCCAAAATTTTAGTATATGATGTTCTCCAAAGACTTTCCAATAAAAGGCTTATTATGATTTCTGTTAGTATGTACTTTACCTAGAAGTAAAAAGTTCAACTTTAATAAGAGTTTTGCAGTGAATACTTCTCATGTTGCTTAAATATAGGAAAGGTTGATGTCACCTGTTGGCAAGATGGAGAACTGCGAGCTTTTATACAGCAAATCTGGAGATTGCTGATGCCATCTATTGGTGAGAATAGTACGGCAAAGTATTCTCATTTGCATAATCCCCAAAAAGGTATAATAGGAAAATGAAGGTATGATCCTTCAAAGCACTGATCACTCTGTCGGAGCCATGGAAGCATTTAAGTACAACATAAATGAAAGTTATAGTGATTGTCCCATTAACTACAATACTCATATACTTAAAATTAAGCATTCACTTAAGTGTTGAACTGGCTCTAGGTGCTTTTCATTTTGCAAGACCAAACTCTTCATTAGTAGTAACTACTGATTCTATTGTTTGTTTCAGGGTTTCAAAATCATCAAGTTAGTCTTTATGATAACCTTAAGTTTGACACTGCTAAAATATGAGAAGAAATCCAGGTACATAGTTCTCTGATCTGATTATGTTAAGGTGCATTGGACATGTTTCTGCAGAATAGTATTCCTTTTCAGTTTCAGAAACAGCCCATTGGGAAACCTCATAGGTTGTGACAACAAGAAAGAATCTTTGCAGAAAACATCTTATAGGGCATACTTGATTTTGAAATACTAAATATGTCCTGTGATGGATGGATTGATATAAAAGTGAACAGCAGTAATAGTACAACACGCACATTCTATCTATCTGCTAATGATGCAGAAGATATCACTTATGGTATATTTCCCATTAAGAACTGTATTTTGTCTTTATGTTCTTCTTAATAAAAAGAAATAGATTAGCAGAATTTGTATGTTGCCTAAACAAACTACAGTAAAATCCCTGTTAACTGGCATGAGTGGGGAATGAGGGGTGCTGGATATCTAAAAATGCCGGTTACCTGAGGAGCATGGGTTTCCAGACGGATGTGGAGCAGGGAGGGTGGAGGAGAGGAGAGTGGTGGTAGCTGAACATGGAGCAGGGTGTGGGGGCTAGCGGCAGCCGAGCACAGAGCAACAACCTTGCAGGGTAGTAGGTGGCAGTGGTGGCGACCGCATGTGAACTTTATCCCCCGCATCCAGCCGGCTGCCTGGAAATTCTAGTTAGTAGAGTGTTCCGGATAGTAGAATGCCAGATCATAGGGATTTTACTGTATTATAACTGTTGGGTCCTTCTGTCAAAATGTTCTTTTATCACAATAGTGGGAAAGAAAATTTAAGGGAACTTAAGCTTTCTTACCTTGCTTTGGAACGATTTTGTCTACAAGGATGCCAAATCCATGTAATTTTAGGCTGAGGAATACCATAAACAGTGCAAGTCAGCACTTGATTGCTGCCCAGTAGATAGAGATTAGGATCAGGAAATGATGACACAGCATTTTCATAAATCTGAGGTTTCACTGTAAAGGGCATAAATGGAATAGAAATCAGAATAGTCAGTCTTTAGTAACTGTATCATCCTGAAAACAAAACAACCCTCTACAGTGTAAAGTTAGGAAATCCAGTTGGCCGCATCTACAGGTGCGATTAATGCGACTGAATCTGAATTTGCCTCAGCTGGGGAAATGGCACTTACAAGTTAAATAGCAAAGTAGAAATGTACTGCAAGCTTACCATTTACTATGAGTGTGACTGTTAGGTTCTTAGATAAATTCCACTGTCGTATATTCAGAACTATAGTGTAATCTCCTGCATCCTCTTCAGCTACATCCTTAATGATTAATGAATAATCTTTAACCACATACCGGGCACACTTTTCAGCAGCAGGTAATCCATCTTTTAACCTTCAAAAGAACATTATAATATGGTGTTATTATACGACTATTTTTCATAGTAACTACACCCTAGGAATTGAGCATCCTTGTACTGACATTATCTTAAGCTATGGGCTTCCATGCCAGTCCAAATATGGTCTTCAGTAGCCAGAAGAAAACAAGATTTTTAAAACTAATTTTGCTGAAAAAGCCTGTATTCCTTTATTTCATGCTTCTTCTTAAGCTTTAGACTAGGATCAAAAGTAGCCTCTATAATCTGATATATTCTATATCAGTGGTATAGCTTCCACTCCCAGAGGGAAGGACTTAACTAGTTAATACCTATGAAGTATATTGAAGAAAAATATTCTGTGTATGAATATGATCTAATAGGGTCATGTGAGAAGACGTCCAACCTTTGATTTTTGAGACTTATTCTTAATAATACATATGTGCATATGAAAATGGTATTTTTATCTGTTAAGATAACATTTTCATCTCTTAAGAGAAAACTTAAGGTTCTCTCCTGTTGCTTATTCCTAATTTAAGAGACCTATTCTGGGATCCTTACACATACTAGGGTTATCTGTAATCAGTGGGATTAATCTAGTGAGAAAAGTTTACTTATACAAGCAAAGGCTGTTAAATTCAGCCCCACACCATTCCTTCATCACCTCACAATATTTTCCAGGTTAAAGAACTCTGATATTTAAAACATTACTGATTTCAGGTGGGGAAAAAGAACAAGTGGATTAAATGAACATTTAAGGATGAGATGTCCTATCTTCATGCAGATATCTTTAAAAAGTGGAAAATCAATGGAGAAAACACAAGCCATTACATATATATAGAATATATTTTCAAAGATTTACAGTTCTTCAATGGCTTGATGCAATGACTTCATGTTGTGTTATCAACAGAAGATTTTCAACTTTGGTGACTCAGTCAATTAAATTAAGGAGCATGCCACTAGATTCTTACGTTAGTAAACCTTTAGGGTTAGGTCCTGCAGGCCTTATACAAGCAATGGAAGTATGTTCTGTTAAAAGACTGTATGCAGATTTAGAGGTTTGATTTCATGTATTTTATAAGTCCTGCTTCTATATGAGTGGTCAAGAGAACAAACCACTAAAAAGAAATTTACAAGACTTAATAATGGCTAATGACAGTTTCATTTGCCCCCTTCATTTTCCATTTGGATCTGTAAACTCCAATGGGGGAGATTAAAACAAAACACAAATGTTAGAAGCAAAAATAAATTCTGGCTGAGAGTAATGTGAACTCGCACAGTTCATGTATGTATGGATTGTTTTCCTAATCAGTCTTGTCACACACCCTTTGTTAAAATGTAATGAATTGAGCCAAAGCTATTGCCATTTAAAACCATTAAAAAAAAACCTTGAGATCATGAATAGATAACATTGTTTTATATAAAGGTGCTTGGACCAATACAAAATCTGCTTAAAAGATTTTTCAATATAGCATATTTGGGCCAAGGAAAAAATCTTAACTCATGAAAGTAGATATTGAAACTATATTAAAAAAATGAAGCCAGCCTCCACTGTTGTTCAATTTATGTATTTATTCTTTTTTTCATTTATTCTAAGAAAGCTTTATTTCTTTCTAGTGGTTTCAGGGATTGAAATGAGCAAATATAGTCTTATGGTTAAATGACAGGTTCAGATGTCAGAGCTGAGTCTGCTAGTTTTCCTGTGTGACCTTGGCATGGCACTTAGGCCCTGATTTTTTTAAGGTAGTTAGGCCTTTAATTTCCATTGATTTCAAATGGGAGTTAGACACCTACATACCTTTGGAGATTGGGTGGCCTTGCATTTCTCTATCTATAAAATGGAGATAACATTTTCATAACTTACTAGCACATTGTGAGGAGTAAGGTCCTGCTCTAGCAAAACAATTAAGTATGTGATTTCCTTTTAATTCAGTGAGTAGGCAAATAGAAGTCAACAGGTCTACTATGATGCTTGAAAGTAAGTGTATACTTAAATGCTTTGGTTACTTAATTAACACTAACTATTCTGAAATATTCAGTTGGAATGTGTGATAAAACTGCACAGCATTAATGATTTAACGTTTGGACAAAATACTGAAATAAAATATCCTGAAGTAGAAATAAACTTGATCAAAGATGTTATACCACCTAAGAAGTAGCTCCTGTATCTATGTGGAAGTAACTGTAATCCTACCATACAACCTCTGGTGTAGGAAATGCCTTCACTTTCATTGATAGCCGATAGGACTTTCTTCCAGCTACAGCTTCAAGCACACTTTTTCTTCGATGTTTCAAATTAATAAATGTTTTATCTTTAAAAAAAGAAAAAAAGGAAAGTTTACATCACTGATTTTTACACAAGACAGCATGCTTATCATGGAAATTAAAAAGCTTCAGAGAGGTAAATTTTAAAAGATTCAGGAATCTAACAAGGCTGTCTAATCATTTGGGAGATCCATGGTTTCCCAAACCAAGACTACACCCTTCAGTTATAAAATCTGGCTTTTTACAAAACCTAAAACATCCTAAAAATATTCAGGAATTTAGGGCTTGGTCCATGGGCCACAGACTCGATATGAGAAGATATATATCAGCCAAATACAAATTATGCTGGAGTAAAAACAAAGTTATTGGGCTATATAAAGAGGTAAGTGAAAGAAATATAAGGCCAAATCCTATTCCATCTATTAGGTGCATGTCGCAGGACACTTCCGTGCCCTGCTCCTAGGGAGTAAGGGGGGAGGTGTGTCGCAGGGCACTTTGGTGCCCTGCTTGTACAAAGAGGTACAGGTGCAGGTTGCTGGGGCAACCAGAGTTGGTCAGCTGATCGGAAGGGGGCAGGGCCTGACCTATATAAATGACCCAGGCTGAGGCCAGGGAGTTCAGTCCCCCTCTAGCAGCTGAGGAAGAGGGAGCTCTGCTGGGAATAAGCAGGGCAGAGAAGCATGATGGCCTCAGCAGCTTCTGCAGGACGATACCGGGTGGAGGAAACCCTGGTAGGGATATGAATGATGGTTAGCCAGTTTGGCTTGGAATTTATGTTGTAGCCCAAGAGCGTGAGTTTCCTGTTTTTGTAGTTGTATAAGACCAGAGAACCGGGTGAGGCTATAAGGGGTTGGAGGAGGCCTCATAGGGGCTCCACAGTAGCGTGGAGACCCAGTGCCAGATAGGGCGCAGCATTTTGGGGTGTATCAACCCCGGCCCCAGTGTGGGCAGTGTCGTGAGAGGAGCCCCAGTGCAGGTTACGAGAGTGAGAAAGGCCCCAGGGTGGGTGGTAGCTGCAGGACAAGCCAGAGAGCATCCATGAGGGCACGGGCAACGGAGAAAGACGAGCCAGAGGACCCGTGAGGGTACGGGTGACTGTAGGACCCACATGTAGCCCCAGAGGTTATAGTGCACAGTGTTATCGAAGGCACGGCACTGTGCCAAAGAGGGTAAAAAGGCAGCCTCCCTTTAACAATATCAACATCAAAGACGTGGCGGGAGAGATAGAGGGTGCATTGAAACCAAGTTGGCACGGTAAGTGGGGTGCTAGGGGAGTTCATGGCTGACCCTAGGTCACGCCCTGTCACAGTGCATAAGTAAATTTAATGCAAAAATCTAGAACTCTTGGTTCAGAGTAAGTAAGTAAATTTAGGTACTTAAGTATGATCCTATGCCAACCTGCTGAAAAACTGCCAGTACAAAAGTTGGGTGGGTTGTCTTCTTCCTTGCTACTTTTTTGTGACTTATTCTTAAGGCTGAGATAACAGCATGTTAGAAAAGTGGATGTATTAATGGATTTTCATGGACTCAAACTGAGTAGATTGGGATTGCATTTGGACAGTGAATTTAAGGGCCTACCAGATGGAGTAGGATCTGTTCCCTTGTGAGCTGTGATAGCAGGTTAGATTAGTTGAGCTGGTAGTCTATTCTGACCTTAGTGTCAACTTAACTTATGCATATTTCGAGGAAAACTTTTCTAAGGAAGAGAGTAAACCCCCTAGTAACCCACTCATTAATACCAAGAGGGTTCCCACATGAGTGATTCCTGATGATCTCAATAGCAAGGATACATCATGAAGACAGCAGTCTCTAAGGCAGCCAATTCAAAACAATTTTAGGTTAGAACCAGCACCTTGACTTTTCCCTGGGATGTTAATGAAAGCCACAGCAAATCACTGGGTGCATCCACATGTGCAATTAATATGAAGCAATAAACTCCAGCACAGTTTACACCAGAGTTTATTGTTCCTGGACACTACATTTATACACGTACCTGGGACTGCAGCACATTGAGCCAGGTTGGAGCAACGCCAGCTGGCAGGGGGCCTGGTGGGGGGAGTCCCTGCATTGAAATACCCTCATGCCCCAGCCCACCAGCATCTAGACGTGCATTGCTGTGCAGTAAAGAATGCCACTATCGGATAGTACTTGTGTTTACAAGTACTAACCTACAGTGGAGTTAATTACTTTACTGCAGTCTAATAGGGCCTCATGTATAGAGGCTGAGACTTTACTACAGAGCTAATTAAGTAGCTCCACAGTAAATGTCCTGTGTAGATGTGCCCACTGAACAATAGTTTAATGCTTCCAATGTCAACCTTCTCTTCATAGATGAATTGTAGTGTCTGTTGCTTGCTTCAGTATGTGAATGGTCCCAAGGTATAGAGCTCCATGTAAAGCTCATCCTATCAATGCACACATCACCTGTGCTTAATAAGGAGGGAATTATGTGAAGCCAGAGATGTGGTTCTCATGAGTTTTATCCTTAAAGAACTTTCATTAAATAAAACAATTTATATAGTTTGCATGGATATATGTAGATATAGGTGGCAACAGCTGGATGCAGCCTAGGAAAAGAAACATTGTGATGCCTCTTTTTAAATTAAGCCTATAATTAATCTCTGTGAGAACTGCTAGTGACTACATTTGCCAGAATCAATTGGTACAGGGTTTTTGGGCTGCTTTGAAGACAAAAGTGATTAAATTGAGGCTAAGCTAGAAATTGCCAGTAAATAAAGCAGTATCTTGAAACAAATGCTACATATTCTGTTCCCACACTCCCTTTTCTATCCATTACTGGTGTGCCAAAATTCACTTCCATTTTGGGCTTCAGTATTCAAGGTTTCTAACCATTGTTTAACTTTGCACATGGACAATGACTATTAAGCCTTCTACACATCCACTCTATATCTTACCATAAACACGAACTGTTGTGTTAACAGATTTGATTGATGGTCCACTCTTCACATAGCAGGTATACTGGCCTTTATCAATATCACGTACTTTGTCAACAACTAGAATACTGTAAAAAATATTAGCTTCTGTATTTTTTTGGTCAATGCGTTGGATTATAGAACCTCTCTTGTTTGCCTAGGAAGAAAATAAAAATAAATATTAAGTCATAGGGGGAAATGTATTATTATTTAAATTGTAGCAACATCCAATATATTCTAAGCAATTTCCAAATACAGAAGAAGAGAGGCCTCACAGGAGCTGTGTAAGTCTCATGGGGGCCAGCAGCAAACCCTGTTGCATCCCTGGCTGCTATGATGGCACCATTTAATGAACCTAGGCTGCTAATAGCTATGTGGAAGGCATTATAGGGATTGCTGATGGAACCCAAGGTCCATGGGCAAATTTACAGGAGACAAAGGTATTAACATAAGAAGGAAAGAATTGTGAAAACAATATAGGAGAAGTGACTAGGTTTGGCAAGAGAATAGGGTGGAACTGAAGATAATCTGAAGCTAAGGAGTTATTTCCTGTGAATCCCCCTCAGCCTTTGGCCTCAAAGTTTATTTAACCCAGGGACATTGTTATTGTCTTGTAAACAGTGAAAACCCTTAAGTTACCATCTAAATAAAAACAAAGCAGTATTTCATAGGGTGAAGTGTGATGTTAAATTAGGCTCAGTAAGGCAAGAAGGTGCTAATATAACACACCAATACAGCACGATTAGAGCATTTTTTGTTGTTAAGTTATTTATTTCCAAGTTGGAAAATGTCTGTGAAAACATCTATAGTGTGTTAAAAGCTGCTGCATTAATCTTTCTTTTAAAATGTAATCATAATTTTGGCTTGTGATTAGGCACAATGAATGACATAATAAATGATCGTGACTTGAATCAGCGGCATAAATCAAACTGACATGAAAGGACTGGGAGTTGTAAACCTTAAACTAATGTCAAATTTCTTATCGGCTTAACACGGACTCCCTGGCAGTTGTTTCATAAATGACAAATATTTATGAGGATGCTCCCAATTTGGGGGAGGGGAAGTACATTCAAGATCATTCTTGTAGTTGTCAAAACAAGAGGATTGTTCATGTGACACTTAACAAATGAGATCTTGGCTAGCTGAATTGTAATATCTTTTCTAAACATGCTTGAGCTGGGTGCCTGACTGTCTGCCAGGCCTTTAAATGAATGTGCTGAGAAAGACAGCTTAACTGAAAACTTTTTTTTGACACAAAAGAGACTCCTGCCTGGCATTGGGTGATAAATTTCTATCATTTCACCAAATCCAAAGAGAAGTTCCCAAGGCTAAAACAATTCTTATGCTCACTCACAATTATGCAATATACCAGAGTACATTGTGTAAACATGTTTACTGATTCAATTAAGCAAAAAAGAAAAAAAAATAAGAAAAGCATTAAAAGACATGTCAGTGAGGGTCACAACAATGGAATTCAAAGCATCACAAGCATTTCAAGCCAAAATTCCTATTGGGAATGCTTGCTAATGGCATTCTCTTTGGGAAAACAGCTATGATTTCTTCATGCAGATCAAAGCACTAACCTCTCCAGGATAACTCCAGGTCATCTGAACTCTTGTGTTCCACGCTGCAGCAACAGTACAGTTAATTGCAAGGCTGTCCCCTTTCAACAGTTTGACCAGACCTGGGGTGCTTAACTGGACATCAAAAATTGTGTTGGCTACATAACACACAGAGAAAGAAAAAATTAACAACCTTACAAAAATACAATGCTGTGTTTGAATGGCAGTGATAGTAACATGCTACTTACTTTGTCGGTGTGTTAGATATTTTGTGCTGTACTTATGCCCATCAATGATTGTCTCACAGCTAAGGAGCCCAATGAATTTATATGTTGCCTTGGGGATAATAAAGCCTTTCGTACTGTCCCAAACTATTGTCTTCCCATCAGGATTCAGCGTCTCTAGTGGGATCTGAAAATTAAGAACATAGTTTATATAAATTATCCTTTTTTATTTCCATAGAGCTCTTTGCCCAAAAGCCTGGGATTGCCCAATAAAAAGGAATTAAAATTAAGTCTAAAAATTGGCAGTCAAAGGAGAAATGGCAATATTTAATTACCCACATTTTCTAGTAATTTTTTATCATCTCAAATTAAAGGAAAATCTGGGTAAAGAATCAGAATGTTTTACTTCTTTCTAAGATTACATTATTCATAAAAGGCTGTAATCTATTACACAATAGATTGACACTATCATTAGCGTAGGCGATTAGTCTGCAGTGCTATTGGTTTTCAGTTGGCAGCTAAAATGCTCATGTCGGAAACCTTTGCAATTAACTATCCTGGGGTTGCTATTGAAAAACAAATACATGTTTTTTTCACTAGAGGTGACAGGCTAATTTCATTTGCTGTCATTTTGTTCCTTTATTAATTCCAGCTCTAATTTATTTTGATGATTCGTGTTTTATACTGGCTTCTAAGGATCTTGGTTGTTCCAGGGAAAAAGTTTGAAAAACATGTGTTCCTTTTCGAAAGCTGACATGTCCTAGTATACAAACTACTTGATTTCCACATAGCACAGTACGTGAATCTTGAGGTCACAAAGGTTTCTCATGAATAGTGACTGGGAACTGTAGTTTCTACTAGTATTACATTTTCAAAAGGGAGTATGAATTTTAGTACCCACTTGAGACACTCTAACCTAATTTTTAACCTAATTTTAGAGGGCCAGTGCTCAGACAGTGATTTATGAAAATCAGGCACATTTAAGGAAACTTAAGTTTGGGCCCTCAGAATTTAAGAACACCCAATTTATTAACTGTTTTTGAAACTTTTGGTCCAACAGTCTATTACAACCACTGGTTCATTTTGACAGTTATGAAATAAATCTCTGATTCCTAGGGAGGTTAAATTTTAAGAGCTTGTTTAGCTAAAGGAAGTATGTGCAATAAGAACAGAAGAATACCTTTCCCATCTCCACTGTGAGGCTAATACATAATGATTGATTTAATTAATTAATATGAATTCATTCATACGAATATGAATTCTGGGCTACCATGGCTTGGGGAAGCCTTTGCTACAGACTGAATCTCTCTCCAATGGTGTCCTAGCAGAACCCCTATGGGAATACAGCAATGAAAAACATTGGTTAATTTATATCTCCTACTGATTCAGCTAATATGGAAGTGAATATAAATGTCTTGACCATGTGGTAGTGAATTGATTGAACTAAATCACAGGTATATTTGTATTTAGCAACAGTAACAGCAATAGAGTTCTTAGAATACAAGGCATTATCCAACGTCAGCCAGCAGGCTGTAATGTAATGGACTGCACTCGGGTGTAGAGCACACACTTCCCTTATGATTTGCATGCTTATTATAGCTTCTTATCAGATGCTGTAAAGATAAAGAATTCTATTTTACAGCAGCACTTTTGTGTTAACAGTAATTATTGTTCATTTTATTCATTCTCCATTTCTGTCTGAGGAAATGGCAGGAGATGAGCAGAGGTGATCTCAAGGGCAGCTCTAGGCATGTGCTGAATAGGCAACACTGAGGGTGCCACATTTCAGAGGAAAGGCATTCCAGGCAGGAGGAAGCCATGCGATCACAAACCCCCACCCTTTGGGTATTCTTCCCTAACGGCTTGGCTGCAGGATTGATGGAACTAGCCAGGAGACAAGTTCTCTGCTCAAAGAGAGGGAAAGGAAAGAAAGGAAAGAAATGCAGTGAGGCTGCTGACAGGAACTGTTAGGGTTAAAGATACATCCTTGGCTTGGCAGCAGAAGGTACATGCAGACATACATTCTTTTTCTACAACACTAAGGTACCTATTTGCAGGCATGTGTATCAAAAATGTGTAATTCTGCCTTAAAAAGTGGCCTTAGGAAAACAGCATTGCAACTAAGTTCCACAAACACTGTCCTTCCTTGTTTTCCAAAGAGCAAGATTTTTGTTATAGTAACCAAAAGGCACTCATAATACTTCATGGTGACAGGAACAGGATAATTAGAAAGCAAAAAAGGTCTTATTTTTGCATGGAGCATCATACTTCTATCATGTTTTGACTCTGCAGGTTTTTGTTAAAACAAAATGAAACCCACAAACACATCACTTGTCGATCTGATACCTCTTAAAAATTATAAGGGCTATATATGATTGGGGGCTTTATTAAATATATGGGTGTAGACAAATTTTACCCTTTAAGTCCTTCCAAAGGGCACTTCCACTTTAGGGCCCTATGCACCTCTGTTATTGCTGTTTTACCTTATCAGATCACCTTCTATACTCACTCTTCTCCTGCCAGTGTCCCTACTCCATGACCTGCAAGTAATTTCATCTTTCTGTTCGCCTGTGACCTGCATGTCCACCTTCACTACAGTTTTCTCTGTGCTGCCTGAAGATACTATTCTGAATTAGATACTACACTCTACTCTTGCAAATCACCCCACGTCCACCACACTGCCTGCAAGAAACAACCCATGACTGAGTTTTTGAAAAAGAGATGAAAAGATCCAGATCACTGAGCTGTTGTTGTTGTTTTTATTGTAGTACCTTGGTCCTCATCATAGACTAAGACCCCAATATGCCAGGCATTGTACAAGCATAGAACAAAAAAAGACAGTAACCACAAAAAACTTAGAGTCTAAGCATAAAAACAAGTGACCACAAATGGATACAGACAGATAGACAGGGAGAGTACAAGGACACCATGAAACAATACTGGTTAGCATTGCCTAGGTAAACACGGGACATATTATCATTGTTACTTATATAGTCACCATCACAATAGCAGCTGATTTATTCTTGTCCTTTTACCTTCTTTCTTTCTTTGCATCTTGCTTCAAGTTAAGTCCTAAATTCTTTAAATCATGGATCACATCTTAATATTTCTTCAGCCTCTATCATAATGCGGTTCTTCTCTGGAGTCTTTTGAAACTAACACAGTGCAATAATCAGGGCACAGTGGCAAAGTTGTCAAGGCATCTTGCTACAACTCCACAGGCATACTTCCAGTCCTTGCTCTGGATTTACAAAAGTCACTCTTAATCTACCCAGATATGAATGGGTACCTAATCTTTCAGGCTGGGGTGTCAGAGGCAAGCAGATAAGATAGTTAGGTCATTCACTTGTTCTCTGTTGGTCAGGGAAACGAAAGAGCCCAATGGGCCACTAGGTTCAGGTAGACTTCGACTTCACTTCCCTGACAATATAACAAGATTTCAAATCTATGGATGTATTAGAAGATATGTTTTACATATGTTTTATAAAAATAGATTGTAAAAGAGTTAATTTAAAGTCAGTTACATAACACAAATGTAATATGTTTCCTCTCTGAGAAAAAGGGGAACTTGATTCTGTGAAGAGTGAGGTAGGCATTCATAAGCTAAAGCAATCAAATCTTTCTGGTCGGTAATTCTACATACAGCTATGACTTTTTCTTTTTATTATCAAGTGTGGTTATCCCTGTGTTCTAACACCATTGCTGGCTTTCTCTGCTAGAAGAGAGAAAAAAAAAGAACAGAAATGGAAACCAAAACACTGATATATAAATGGTGATGGTAAATCAAGCTAAGAGGAAGAGGGGGGGAA